GTTGTAGCTGCTCACTCAGGCTTTGAATTAAACCTGTGTTGCCATGCCTTTTGTTCCAGTGTTTTTTTTAATGAAACCAGCTTATTTTTAGTTATTTGATGAATTCAAATATGTTTTTGATGGACATCGTATATGAACTTTGTGATGATGATTTTAATTCTTCTAACTTACTATAAATTATTTTTAACAATGAATGTAGATTAGAAATTGTGTATATGTATACATAAATGAATAAATAAATGCATATAGTATCCTAGATCTTTATAAAGCATCATGTATGAGAGATACATCTTGTTTTACTACATCTCTAAAAAATTGGAAAAGAATAGCAACATGTAAAGGATAGAACATTCTTCATGTAGACAAGAAGAACCATTAAAAGGGGAATTCCCTGTTAGATACAACAAAACATTATTTTCAGCTCCATCCTTCAACATATTGTGCTTGTATCACGCAGGAAAGAAATGAGCTTTTTGCACCTACTGTGTCCTCTTCTCCTTGATCAAAAAATGCCTACTGTGCATAGAGAGGAGGAAATAGATCTGCGATGCTTTGTACACAGCACCGCCAGCCACCAGGGCCAAAGGCAAGAGATTGTTGATGTTGCACCCAAACTATTTAAAGGCATCAGAGTGTCCGTCCCTCCACTACGCGATCCAACTGATCTGTAGGAAGAAGGGGCATACCACATTTGATCTTTAAAAAAATTAATTGAAAATTAAAATAGGAAGCGGAAGCAAGAAGAAAAAAAAACCATAGACCTTCTTTTTACAAGGTCCACAAAATGGAAGCTGAAAGTCGTGCTGCTTATCTCTGAAATGTCACAGGCTCTAGTCAAATAAGTGCCACAACATTTATGCAGCCGTAGTCCATATAGTTATTATTGTTATTTATTACCAGTATTTGTACAATGTCTGTCAAGGAGCTTGCAACTATATACTCACAATTACAATAGATGCCTTGCCTGGAAGGTAAAGGAATCATATTCTTTGCAGAGAAATATAACTTCACAAAAGAAATGCTACTTAGCCACATTATGTCTGGTTCTTATTCAGCTTCTTAGTAACTATTAAGCATCTGTTTTACACTGACACCCACTAATATTGAATGGAAAGACTTCTTTCTGCTTGCGCATCCATGAGCTCTTACAGCTGTGGCTGAGGAGCTGCATAGGTTGTTCAGACTATATACTATAGAGAAATTTAGTGTGCAAGCAACTTTTCAGTAAATGCCACTTCTCATACCATTCCAGTGTCACTTTGCCCAGAAAAACAAGACATTCCTCTCCTTGCTTGGAAAATGGACTTGTGCCACTACTGTCCGCATCAAAAAATAAAGCATAAAGGTTGCTGTGTTGGCCATTAGGGGAAAAAAACCTCAAATCCCTTTTATGGAAACACTTTTTAGTGCCAATTCAAATATTAAAATTATATGCAAGCTTCTGAGTCCTCCATAACTCTTGGTCAAACTACACGATAACCACATGAGGCAGAGGACCAGTAAGCTGGTGTTCAAACCATTAGTCATGAAATGGGATGTAGGAATCATCAGCCAGCATTGACTTTAGGCTACACCTAAATGTGTAGCTGCTTTGATATGATGATATTAGGATGTACCTAAGATTATCTTAGGTGCAGTCTGAATCCTTTTTGAATCTCTTCAGTGTGACTGTGCATGTGTCAGAGAACTGCTACTTAGAGATTAGTACCTAGTAACTGGAAGGCAGCTATTCTTAGAGAATAAGCTCCTTTCAGTGACATGGAATCATCTTCCTTCACTATAGGATCCTGCTGCTGAATTCCATATTCTTTAAGTCACATCTCCTTCAACATTCCAGCTAAAAAGTACAGGTCAGTGAAGATGGCATCCTTTATCATCAAGCTTTTCCCCTCTCTCCTCCAGTTTTGTTTATTATCTAGCCTGAGAAAGAGCATTAGAGAACTCGAAAATTTGCATACTATTTTGTGACATTTTGCTTGGCTCAAAACAACATTCTACACATTGACTGACTGTCCTCAAAGCAGTATTAAGAAAGAGTTCTGCTCCACTATACTACTCCTGGAAGGATTCTCTTGCATAGAAGTTCTCCTTCCAAACCCACATTTGTGGAAGTTTCTTATCTATTATCCTCCTATTATCTGCTTATAGGTGTCCTTCTACAGTCCAATTACTGTACATTAGCTATGGGATTTATATCATACTGATTAAAGGAACACATTTTAGTTGATTGGTCTGAACTGAAATTCTGATTCCTTGTCTGAGATGTCCCAATGATTTCTAGTCATCATTTAGTACTTACTAACTGTTAATTCCTTCCTATGGCTTGATAATATGCATCAATAATCTGATGCAGATGGTTATAGTAACAATGCAGCCAGATACAGTGTCTTGAGCATGCAATGAAAGGAGACTGAACATGGGATCTGGCAAGATTGGGAGTTTATTTCATGTCATCATTTATTGCCAAGAATTTTGCAAATTATGAAAAAAAAAGAAAAACCAACCTAAACCCCACCATTATTAGCAAAGTCAGAATGTCTCCCTTAACCCAAACACATTTGCAGCCTTGCTATATACAATTCTTATTTTATTTCTGTGTTGATCACCAAGGTTAATATTGTACCAATCCATGACAAGAAACCAAAACTCTTATTTTGGTGCAGCCATACCAAAGATTGCATATTAATTTACAAAATATGTGGTTCAAAAATTAACTCACCTACACCTTTTTCCAGAGCTTCAGTGTTTGACTGTGTGATCCTCCTGGGTACTAAAGACCATGTGTGTGCAAGTTGCAATTTGCCAAGCTTGGTGCCCGCCCAGACTCTTGATCAAATATTGGAGTGGCCTCTAAGCAGCAGGCAGTTTGCAGACAGAGTGAAGAGACCTTAAAGTGCTTGGTGTTATAAATAACCCAAGATTTTTCTCTCCCTCTCTTTGCAGAAAGTTTGGCAATTTTTTCAGCCTCTTTCTGTTGAATAGGTTAGTGGAACCTTGATTGTTGTTTTTAACAGATTTGTGCAAATGCTGCCTGTATTTCCTATCAGGAAGAAACAGTGAAGCAGGGAGTAATTTGGGGGATCAGGCTGAAGCCGCAAACATGCTGCTTCAAACTGAAGTGTCTTTTACCAGCTATTGATGTGGAAACAAAGGGATGAAATCTGCAGCTCTGCAAGTGCCAGGCATCTTCAGTGTCCATAGGGAGGTTGCCCAATCAAGTGTATCTTAGAATGTCATGCTTGCCACGATCAACCATTGATTTGTCCTAATTGGTATCTGGCCCCACAGAGGCCACATGCTGGATTTGGTCATCTGTTTGGCTGGAGCCAATGATCCGAAAGTGATGAAGGTGCTCTTTGTAATAACTCTGGTCAGTTTTAGGCTGCTAATTGCTATAAACCTCAGCAGGAGTGGAGGACTAATAAAGATGGTCTAACCAAGGTGTCTGATGAATTTGGATGGTTTTCTGAATGTATTTGAGGAATTTCTCATCTCATCTGTTGGCAGCCATTCTGTAGCACAAAGATGGCTAGGCAACTGATGTTATGAGCTCATCTACACAACCCCATTAATGTGTTTTCCTTCCATCCTTGAGATCTGCTGCCCCCACAACAAACATTTTATTGTGTTCCCAGAAGAAGGCCAATAGGATTATTGCTGTAACACAGGAGTAGCTAATGCTGCTGTTGGGGACAGCAACATGCTATCCAGCAAGCAAGGAAGGAGGAACCAGGCATAGAATTGAGTAATCTATGTCCTTCAGAACTTGCTGCCTGAGCTAGTGGGGCCCTGGTTGAATGCTGCCTCTCCCTCTTCTCTTCCAAACTATTCACTGGCCCATGTGGCCATTCCAAATGGGCACTAATTAGGCATTGCTTCCTAATTACACCTGTGAATGTGTTGCTGAATCAGCTCTCTTTCTTTCAGTTCCTGCTCATGGATACTGCGCTGATCTCCTCCCAGCAGTTTTTCCAATGGGAATAGTGACCTTGTGGAAGTTCTTCCACAAGGTAAATATTCCCCAACACCCCCCAAATCAAGTTTCCAAACCATGGAAAACATCACTTTCCTGCCAGATGATCTTATTCCTGCAGTAGCAGTGGGGTGGCAGCAAGAGGGCAGTTTTATTGTGAAGTCATCTCCTCAGCAAACGGTATGTGGGCTGTCTTGGAGCTTGGACATGGAGAATGCATGGATGAGTCCAATGGATCCCAGGCACTCTCTTTGCTTTAGCAGAGCTAAATCAGTACCTTAATATACCAGGAAGCAGAGGGCAATTAAGTTGATAGGTGTACTTGCTGGAGCTCAAGTGGAGAGCCTTCAAGACAGAACAAATTGAACATGGAGTTGGGCCTTCTTAAGGTTCATCTGAAATGCTACTCCATGATAGGAGGTGCAGCAAAGAAAGTTTTCACATCTGCCTCTATTGCATCTGGACAGAATAGGCCAATAACACTTTTCTGTATTAACACCTCCATTGAGATGTTGGGAAAATGGAGCCAGAAGAGTCAGAGGCTCGCTGTGAGCATTTTTCATCATTCTCTGTAGACAACCTCAAACATATTCACCTCAGCTTAGACTGTAGTTTTCAGGCAGGACACAGGGAGGGATGGGGCACCATCAATATGCTGATAACACCTAGCTATAGATGCATTCTACCATCTAACTCTGAGGAAGCAGTCTGTATCCTTGAACATTGCTTAATTTTGATAATAGATTGGATGAGGGAGATGTTGTTGGTAATGATAAAATAGGACTTGAGAATAAAGGTGAAATCTATTTGATATGGAGCTGCCCCAGAAAGAGCAGATTTGCAATTTGGAAATACTACTTCACTCCACCACCCACCCCCACAACTGTATTTGCAGGGGGCAATTGTGACAAGGAGCATGTTTGTACAACTATAGATAATGTAACAATTCTGATCCTTCCTGAGTTGGGAGGTGCTCAGCATTGACCTTTAAAGCCCTAAAAGGCTTACAGCCTGACCATTGGGGAACCACTTTTCTTGCTATGAACTTCCCAGTTTCTTAGATGAATAGTTCTGCCAGAGCTCAGCCATCTAGTATGTGGGAGAGGGCACCTGCATACTATTTTAATAGTTGTGGTTTTAATGTTTTCAGTGTACTGATTTTACTGCTGCATTTTATGTTTTTGTTTTATTGCTCTAAGCCATCATGAGCACACAAATAAGCAGAGAGGCAGAGTATATATTTAATAATAACAACAGTAATAATAATAGGGATTTGTCAAAATTGACAGCAGAATTCACCATTTACATCAACTCCCCCCCATTCCCCAGTGGAGCTTGTAGCAGATTGACTCTCTCAAGACTCATCAGTCTCAAATAATTTCTTCCTGTTCACTATTCCTGACCTTGGGTTCTCTTCAATTCTTTTGCCTTTCTGACGTTTCACTGTGCAGTATTTCCTCTACAGTGGCTACGATTATTCCAGTCTCAAGCCAGATGTTCTATAATAAATTCTTTAAAATAATAATTTCATGAGGTAGCAGAAAAGATTGTGCATGCTTACAGACAGCTCCCTAAATGGAACCACATATATTGGAAACAGCCAGTGAATATAATGCAGTGCTAGCTCTGATTTGCATCTATTCTTGTAACAGCATTATTGAACTTAATGCCAACCATGCTACCAAAGGTTCATATAACCATCCTCCTAATGGTAGTCTCTAACTTTTTTTAGATTAGTAGACATGTTGGGAATTTTGAGGGAATGTCAGAGGAAACATCATAACATGGCTATCAAGAGGTGGCCCTTGTGAAACACATGCCACTGGTGGGCACAACACATTAAAAACAACAATTCAACAGATAGAGTACTGAGGCTAGAAGATAAGATGGGATGCAGGACTCTTGAATACAAGGCAAGTCTGTGGTCTATACCCAAAACACAGAGACATTCTTGCAACTCTAGGAGGTTGAAGGAATCTGTATATGCATGTGACTATTCCTGAGATCAAGAATATAACGTTAACAAGGATTAGTGAAAAAGGTTTTTTAACTATAACACAGATTTATTTACAGGAAATACATTACAGGGATAGGCAAAGGCCAGCACATAACAACATCCTTCTAGGAGAAGAGTCAATGAGAATGTGTTCCATGTGTACATGTCTGGGAAGAAAGGTAAAAGGAATGGACCTCAGATTAGCAATCTCATAGACAAAGAGCAGATAGTGATAGACAAAGAGGTGACACAGAGTAAATCCTTAACTATCTGTATCCCATTGTGGTCAATAGGTCATGAGGTGCTGTAGAGTCAATGCCATTAGATCTAAACTTCCCACAGGATATCCATCATCTTTCTAATTTAATTAAAGTTTATTTCACTGAAATGAAACTCTTAAAGGAAAAAGGTCAATGTCTATTAAGTTGGAAAAAGCTTTTCTTCCTAATTAATCTGGTAATTTACATAAAAACAGGTACAGTGCCAAATTTGGCACAAATGGGATGGAGCTGGTTTTATGAAAGTTACATGCTGGAAGCTCCAAGATCTAAAGTTTTGCTTGCTGATTGACTGAGATGTATTTAACCAGCATTAAAGTTCTAGCTGATATATTATATCGATTAACAGTAGTTTACCATAACTCTTTTACACTATTATTGCCTTGTGAGGAATGGCCCTTTTATTTATACATATATTAGCTAAGTAGGGGCAGTGGAGGGAAGGGTTTGAATGCAGAAATTAATATACTGTTAAGCAGCATTATTTTCCCCCAAGCAACAATCTGCTTCTGCAGATGCCTGAGGCTAGTTGCCAACAAGCTGTGAAAATAAAGTCTTAACGTCTTTTGCTAAGTCACATTTCAAACTACACAATTTAACTTAGATTCCTCTCTGGAAAGGTAGAAATATGATCTCTTTTCCTGACTACAAGAATACTGGATGAACTTCATTGCTCATCCACAAGCAAATATATACACAAAAGCTTAAACAACTTGTTATATTTTCACTTGACACATGATACAACATTTCTACTAAAAAGAGATTAAATCATGAAACCCAATTAAAAACACAAACATACAGTACATCAGCACCTTCTAAGATACATCTACTGCTCAATTAACAGTGTTTCTAAAGGGGGGAAACAGCAATTATTTTTTGTAACACTGGATGTTTGAGAGCTGAATAATGACTTTTTTTTTTTTTTTTAACTTTAAGCTGGTAGGCAGTAGCAGTACTCCTTTACGAGTGTACTAAGGAAAATAAAGAGCAGGCATCTTACCTAGGTACTATTTATTGCTGTATATACTGTATGATTTCTGTGGTAAATATGATGATTCTTTTGAAAGCCAGATTTTATAGCATCATGCTGGTCTCCCATTGAAGGTGCGACTTCAGTTCTCCGACCATCCATATATATCTCTTGCTCAAAGGAGAAAGAAGATCAACCTGTCTATGTTACTTCACACCTGGTGACTGTAGTCACTGATGGTGACTGGCAGTGCTAGAAGTTTATTTTCAAGTCTCCCCCAGAGCAGGGGAACTAAAAGTACAAAGATCCATACATGCACTTACACAAACAAAATATGTCTTCTTTGATCTAATTGCACCTCACAGAGGGAGATTTATGAACATTAGCTGAACCATATTTATTTTGTCTTTGTTGAGAAAACTCAAGTAATTCTTTCCTTTCTTTTAAAATAATCATCTCTCTGTGGGTTACTTATTTTAACTCATGATTAGAGTCCCAGGAATTGCTTTCATGTTTCCATTTCTGTACCCTGTTCTATTTGAACCTTCTAGTATGTGTGATTTGA